GCATTTTCGTTTCTACGAATTGTTTCCGAACTGTATGCTCTTTTATCAGACAGGTAACATCATAAACCGGATGACAGATAAACTTGTTGATATTTGGCGTGCAATTGACACTAAGAAATTCATGAAATTTCTTTAATTTCGAGGATATACCTCAATTTATTTTTCACTGTAAGCTTCGTTTAAAAATTCAAATACTTAGGAATACAGTAATCAACGGACCAGAATAAAAACTTCAACATAAAAGCTCTAATTTTGAACTCTACGTTCATTAATCTCTAAGACCTTTAAAAATAATATATCAGATGTTTCGTCTATTTTAAATATTTTTAGAAATCTGCCATTTTTGTCGGTTGAAGATAAATGAAACACTTTGTATATTTTATGCAAAACATAACTATAGTTAACCAAATTTCAAATTAGAATTAAATAAAAATTTTATTTTCAATAAAAACATTAATACTGCCGAGTATTAAATAGATTGATTAAATTAATTGCATTGTCAATAAATTTACAAAATTAAGTTATTTTGATATGATAAATAAAATTTGTTTAAGTAATATAAAATACTCATTATATGAATTTTTAGATATGTATAATAAAACGTAATTTGCCCGTTATATTTAATTTATACACACATGTATCATACATATGTTCTATCTTGTAATTCAAATTAGTATTTAAAAATTAACTGGTGGTAGGAATTTTGATATTACCGTGTCTTCTTATGGATTAAGAATAAAATTAAGAATAAAATTAAATGAATTTATATGAAATAAACGTTAAGATACATATAATGAATATAAAACCACAGAAATATTACGAAGTTTATTTTAATTTTCCATTACGTGACTTTTTCAATTTTAAAAGGAATGCATTTTTGAATTGTTATATATAATACTAATAAGAAAATAACAATAAAAACATACTATCTATTAAAAAACTTATTTAAAAAAATAGAACAACATTTCAACATAACAGTAGTTTAAACTGACATACCAAGACATTGTAATTATAATGATCAAAATTGTTTTTAACAATTTTGTTAATTATGAATGTTGCTATTTATTTATGTTTATCAGAATTTCATAATACTCATTACTGTTAATTTAATTTTATCATAATATAAAATATTGATTTTATACAACATATTTGCAACAGAATGCAATGAATTATTAATATTGAACTAATTACAAGAAAGAAGTTTACTAAAAGTTCCACTTCTTTCTTGTATGAATTACAAGAAAAACGAGAGATTACTTCGAACACTAATCGCTGTATAATCCTTAGAACGTCTTCAACTTTATTATGTTTGACGTATGAGTCATGGGACATATAAACTCTGTCTCTTGTGATTCAGTGAAATTTTATGTTTTTATTTATAAATTTTTTAATTTTGTTATTTGTCAATTTTAGTATTATTTGTAAATTTTATTAACGCAAATCTTAAATAAAGCTTTAGTAATTAATTTTTAAAAACGTCCAGATTAACACAAGAATTTACAAGATTAACAGAATTTTTTCAGATTTTTTCGATTTTTGATTTTTTACAACTACAATCTGCGATCAAAAAATCTGAAAAAATTCTATAATATGTGCTACCAGGATCTCAATGTCTCAGAATTTTTTCAGAATTTTTTTACGAAATTAAATAGACAAAATGGGCCAAAAACCCAAACGAAATTTCATTTGTTCCCTTTTACTATCCCCACGGATGAGATAGGGGGTTGAAACTTGGCGTGAGATGTTTTTTCTGGATATGCTACCGACTGACGTATTGGATTGCTCATTTGACTCAAGTGCACATTTGACTACCTTACCTGGCTATACCCTTTAAAATATTAAAAAATTCTAAAATCCTTACTTCCTTAAGGATTTTTTAAATTTTCAAATTTCTAAATTTCCCAATTCTCAGTTACCAAAATTTCTACATTTTCAAGTTATCACATTTTTCAGTTCTGAAATCCTTCAAATTTTCAAATCCTTAAATTTCCAAATTTATGTATAAATTCTCAAGTTCAAATTTATATTAAATACTAACATTCATATTTATGTTGAACACTAAAATTTCTACATGTCGACGTTTCAGATATTTAACCAATTCTCTTCCCTATTTGTCTTCCACTTATCCAAACTAATTAACACTATTTCTACCAAAAGGTATCAATAAATACCTTTCAAATTTTAACTTGAAATCAGTCTCTAAATTGAATCATTTCTCCACAACTAATTTTTCGACTTTTCATAAATATTTTTTAAATTAATTCAGCGATATCATTTTCTTCCAGCTCATCCTGGATCTAAAAATAATCATATGGCATACTTATTTCTAGCAGGAGGTGTCTTTTAACACCCGCCATATTGCATTTTAGTGCACACCTCTATAATATTTTACTGATTGATGAATTAAGCTAGAATTTACATCCTTATTAAATAATCTCTAACAAAAACACATCAATGTATCAGTAAATATATTTCTCAAATTATCTACATTTAATTCATAAGGTGAAGTGGGGTAAGTTCGTAAACGGGGCAAGTGCGTATACAGGCTATTTTTATTACAATATGAGCGAAATTTCTCCACTTAGTATGTTTGTTTCCTTGTTTTGTTTCACTATATCCCTTTTTATATTTCAGCTAAGAGTACTTGTTTGCAGTATAGAGTACTTGCATAATGCAGTAAAAAGTAATTTATAGCAGATTTGTTAATAATTGTGCTCTTGCCCCATTGCACATGAAATAAAGTTTCAAAGTATTTAACTTCAAGTTACGCTTTTACCCCATTTTCGGGGAAAGTGCAGAGTAGTTAACATTTTAAACAATTTCCTATCAAAATCAAAGTGTACAAGAAAAATTAAGGTCCTAGTTAATATTAATTAAATAGTAGTAATTGTGCAAAGCGTTCAATATCGACAGCGTTAAGTATTCACATAGCAGATTGAAAATACTTACGTTTAAATACCAACTTTACAAAAACCAGTCTGCACTTACCCCACTTCACCTTAATTTGTAATCTCAACAGTATTGGTAATTATTTGCATCCAAACAAAAAGGTGTCAAAGGACATCTTTTGGTCACAATAGGTATACACAAAATCATGGTAGAAATAGTGTTAACATCAGATCTTATAAGAAATCGTGACGACGTCTTTTTATTCAAGCACATTTCATAACAAACTGTTTCCTTGTCCTTTCAAGGTCCACTGGACGTTATGTACCTTATATTTATTTTATCATTCTGCCTCTTTTATGACGTTTTCCATTTTCCAATTAACACAGAAAACTACAGAGGCTTGTTTAGCTTTTTTTTTTGAACAGGTCCTTGTAGTTGTTACAGATTTTTTGTCAACGTTTGTTAATCGAATATTTACTAACGGTCTTCTTTATACATTTGTTTTTGTGCTCACGGGCAAATATGTGTGAGTTTGGTCTAAATATCAAATTTTAACAAATAAAAATTTGGTTTACACAGGCATTATTCGCGAAATGATATTTTTGAAATGTCAAATCTCTAAGAAATGCTATTACAATTTTTATGGTACAATTATTTATTTTATATCTGCACTTTATGTAGGAATATCATAAGACGAATTTTGAACGCTATGTAGGTCGTCGGAGATCGACATAACGTTAATATAATTAAAGATCTGAAAGAAAAAAAAGGCGTTAATATTATATTAATTTTGTGTCGCATTTTTATACGTATATGAAATAATGTTCATTTGAATTTAGAATTTTATAAAAAAATTTTACACAGTAAATATTACTTTAAAACCGGTTATAAATCATATTAAAAAAGCAGTTTCTTATACTATGATATAACAGCATTTAACATAAAACATTTTTAATCTAATATAAAATATTTTCTTTCCAACGAAATTAACATTATAATATGACAAGGCTAATAAATATTTGAAGGTCACTGGTTAATTATGCAAAAACTTAAATATTTTAAAAATATGGTAAAACATGTAAAAAAATGGCTATCTAACTTAATTTTTAGAAGCCTTTAAACACTATAAAACAGCACAATATTTTGCATTTAATGACGTTTTTTCAACAGTAACTCAGATATTAATATATTTATTTGTAATTTATAATGAAATACAGGATATCTTATATCTGTTTCTAGACGAAAATTAAAGCGATCAATATTTTTGTCAATATTCATTATTTGAGGAAACATTTAATATTCGGTTTTTTGATTTAAAAAAATATAAATTACTGAACTAGATTAGGACAGTTGTAGTGATGGTGATACAATGATTGATTCCTCAGTAATTTTTTCTATTTTAATACATTTTTGTCTTTTAATATTTATTTTTATGGATATATTACGGCAAATGTGATTATGTATAATTGCCGATTATTATATGTATAGTTATCAGTAACAATAAGATTATATGTAATAAATAATAACTAAAGTTCTACATAATTATTATATCTTTACACGTATCTTTTTACTTGTAATATCATTTTTTACCTTTCTCAAATTTCTAAGTCTGAAAACGTATAAATCTGAAAATTTAAACAATCTGCAACTCTTAAATCTTCTGTGATTTAAAAATTTCTCTCTTCAAAATTTGTAAATTGCAAAATTAAAAAATTTGAAACTTAATTCCTTGAATTCAAAAAATTATGATTTAAATAAACCTAACTTGATATCAGTGTAGTATCATATTACGATACAAGCACATTATCGCATTGTGGTATCATCATATTATCATACGATCCTACCTTATCTCTAATGAGAGACACTGCATTTGACCGATGCACACCACATTTCCGTCTCCTTACAACCCCGCTTTTATCTGTTTTTGTCATACCGTTCCCTCCGTCACGTACTCCGTCTGCTCTTTATCTTTGCTCTACCCTCCCTCTACCTCTTTCCCCTTCTCTCTCTCTCTCTCTCTCTCTCTCGTGGTCCACTCGCATGGGGTCCATACGACCCTCCCTTCTCCGATGCTTTTCCACCAGTCGCTCGAATCTTCCGACCTTAAACCCTCCACCCGTTTCTCCCCTCGAGATCCGAACTCGAGCCGTGTCGCCGCCTGCTTTCAGTTGCGTTCAATCTCTCGTCAGAATAGGAGGTTCCGTGCTCGCGTGAATCTCGTGTTTCGTTCTGTAAACGCGTGTGATTATCGATAAGAGAAAACGACGACAGTTTGAACGGATTACACTCGAACGAGTATCGAGAGGAGAGTGATCCTTTTGGTTCGATCGAGAGACTCACGATGGAAGATGATAGGAGACCGGCGCGAAAGCTATTGCTCTTCTCCAAGAGGACTGTGTTAAAGTACAAACTGCTGATTCAGTGACAGGGCGCTGTTATTTTAGGGTCAACGTATGTTACATCGCGTTCTCGTCGTTCTTTATTGTACAATTTGTGCTACGAATTGAACTAGAAATAGGCAGAGTGTCCGGTGTGAAACAACGTGCTTTGGGACACAGTGGAATCACCTGACGTTGTCTCGGGCGAGAGTTATCTCTCGACATTGATCGGTCCAGAACCATATATGTAGGTCGATCCGTGGTAACACAGTTACATTCGGGACACGGATTTTTTGCAGTGATCGATAGGTCACCGTACGAAAACGGTGCATAGAAACAATCTTCGAAACGAGAGAGGAAGTCGACGCTCCCGTTTCGTAATCATAAGACTGACGAGATTCATTGGTATACGCGCATGGTTCGCGCTGATAATGCTCGTTTGAAAACGTATGTTGTATAAAGTAGACGTTCTGTGCCAAATAACACGTGCCAAAGCGTTTCATTGAAAGTACAAGTTTTATAGTATTATCGTAAGACTTTGTCTATTGTTGTTTACCGTTGTTGTTTAATAGTTTTTATTCGTAAGTTCTGTTTTTATACACGTAAGTATTGTGTGCACATAGTCGTTTGTAAGGAGGGGACTGTTTTATTTGTACGGACATTTTTATTCTGGTCTACACTGATGAGGAACAATTACCGCAATATGTTTTTCGCCGGCTACGGATATTCCAATCAACATCAAAACAATCCATCCTCGCCGACAAGGGCCAGCGTATGGGGTAGCGTTTACAGCCCGTTTCGAAAGTGAGTAAACCATTGATTTGGTATCGAGTGCAGAATCGATAGTAAATTGAAGAGTGAGAATAAAAAAGAACAGTAGTTGCCCCAATTACGGGGGCTTTCAATCAATTTTTGCAGTCATATATTTAAAAAGCTACACGAATATCGCGTTCTTAAAATTAATATCTGTTAATACTTTTTTAGAAAGGATTTCATAGATGGGATATGAAATCTTTATAATTTAATGAAGTAGAAGTAGTTGTTTTTGTTTGTATTACAGAGCTCTTTCAGTTATTATGGATGTATGTCGGTCCCCTCTGTTACGATGCCTTTGAATATCCCTCCCTAGCCTAGCTTTTGTGAGATATAAAAATTTATTATGGAGTCTTTGAATATCGCTCTTTAACCTAGCTTTTATAAAAAATAGCAATTATTTTCAAAATACTTCCATTTTGTAATGAATGTAATGAGCTTGAAATAAAAATAAGGTTATGGCAAACACCGCGCTTTGACTGCATACTACTTACAAGTTTGAAAATCTTGCAATGTTATAGGATTTATTCAAAAGTAAAAGCAATAAGTTTTTTAGGTGTTAACCCTTTCGCTTCGAGCGCCGGATATATCCGGCATCCACATGATGTGTATACAAGTACCATCTGTGGTCAATGACAAATTTTTCGTTATCGGCAGAACGTTTTGAACTGATTTTATTGATATATTCGATTAATCCAATATATCAAACACCAAAGAGTAGGTGTACTTTATTGATATATTGGATTAATCAAATATATCAATAAAGTACACCTACTCTTTGGTGTTTGATATATTGGATTAATCGAATATATCAATAAAATCAGTTCAAAACGTTCTGCCGATAACGAAAAATTTGTCATTGACCACAGATGGTACTTGTATACACATCATGTGGATGCCGGATATATCCGGCGCTCGAAGCGAAAGGGTTAA